GGCCTAAATGTTTCATGTTGGCTACACAATGACTTTTGAAGAATTATAGGATTTCAGAAAAGAATCTTTTATTCATTTAGTTATGTTAAGAATTAGAAGCTAATCTATTCAGAAGTTAATTATATTATTGTTCATGTAGCAAGGATCCAGAGCAACCACTAATCAAGCCATACCTGTACATGCTTATTGGTTTTCTTTTTCAGAAACGTTCAATTCGTTTGGGGGAATATACTAGCTTTTTCAGGAACACGTGAGGCAGAAGTGAGCACATTTAGGGAGGAAATGGTTGGCAAGAAAGAGAAGAAGGGAAGAGAGTCCCCTATGTAAATATGTGTTAAATAAAGTATAAATATATTTCTTCTTCTAAAATCACAGGCAGTTCAGACATTAGCAATAAGACCCCATGTGTAAATTGTACAAACACTTTTTGCAGTGTAAAGTACATGGATACTGCTAAATTTGCATCTGATGGAGCCAGCTTTGTTAATCAATGTGGAGTGATGAGTGTAGACTTGCTGCACTACTTAAATGTGGAGATTGCTGAAAACCACTTTGGGTTTGAGTCACCCATACATTCAGTGATGTGAGGGATGTCAAGGTTAATCCGCAATAAATCCATTAGTAGTCATGGCACTGAAGTGTCAGTGCTTGCATATAGAAGCAGGCATAATAATGACGGCGATACATTCCACCATGTCGATAAAATGCTTGCAACTGATTAAGATGTACTTTTGCTGCACATTGAATTCACTTATAACATAAAAGATGTTCCTATAAAAATAAAAATTTAAAAATAAAGCTAGATTGCAGTTTATCTTGTATAGGCTTACTTCTTTATTTAATAGTCACAGTCAGTTTTTTGCATCAAGCTATAATTCTTCCCATCCTAGATGCTTTATGGTGATGAACTAATACTATTTTTCTCATGAAAGCTCCCATTTGATGCAATTTAATATCCTTCCCATTGTCAATTATTAGTGGATGTAAGTAATGGATGATATAATGGGTTTTTATGAAAAAAAGTGCTAATCCAAGGAATGAAATACTGAAAAGACTAATAAAAATGGGGGTCTAGGAAAGTCATTTCTTAAAAGGCATTTGGTTTGAACATAACTTTGAAATAAGTTAAACTTTTCTGAAGGTTCTTATAGCAAGATAAAGCAACAATGTTGCAACATTAGTCATTTTATTTTTTCACCACAGACATACATACAAACACTTCATCTGTTTTCTGTAAAATGTATTGGGCACTTACTATATGCCAGAAGTGGGACTAAAGTGTTACTGTGCAGTATGTCAGTTAATCCTGATAGAAGTTCCATGAGATAATAGTGTTATTATGCTCGATTTTTTTTTTCAGGTAGGAAACAAAAGACTTAGAATAAATAGTTTTGTCAAGATCATGTAGCTGGTAAATGATACAGTTGGAATTTGAGCTCAGTTGTGCCTGAGTCCAGAGTTTACATTCTTAATGTCTTAATGATTCTGCTTCAGTAAGTACATCATTGCCCTTGGTTCAGAAAGATGGAATTTAAAGGACATAGATTTGGAAATGTTAGTCATCTGACCCACTATATTTTATTGTTGGAGTATGCTCATATTCTCAAGGTTACCAAAATGGAGAGTAGATGGCAATTTCTTATCTTGATGGAATGAGGGCTTTAAGAGCACAGAGATTTTTGTAGACTTTGATGCAAAGTGATTTTTTTTTTTTTTAGAAAAAAGGAAGCCAAGATGCTTACAGAGGTCGGTAGGAGAGAACTGTGTCATGGCTGGACATCTAATTCCTTTGCTTATTATGGAACTGTGCCGATGAGTACAATTCAGTGTATTGTTGTGCATACAGAAGAAAAAGGAAGAGAGATTGCCTTTCAGATTTATCTGGAGAAAAAGGACACTAGAAATAATTGTATTGTTTGACCCAGGGTATCCCAACTGCTTTTGCTTTGTTTGGATGAAACCTAAAAAATTGGAAAGTCATTGTAAGGAGGACAGAGTAGCTAATAGCATGCTAGTGGCCAAGCTGTAACACTTATTGGGAAAGGTTGAAATCAAATCTTGAGTAATGATATTTGTATTGTGACATTTATCTTGCTGAAAATATAAGACTTTAAATTATTATCCTCAAGTCCTGTAACCGAGCAACGAGAAACTTTCGTAGTTCCATAAGTTTGGGAAGTGTACCCTAAACCAAATGTTAACCTACATATATTAAATGTCCTGTCATTTCACATTTATATGTGATTTTTTTCTTTTTTGAAAGCATTGTGGGGTGAAAGGACAGTATATGATCATGAAGTGCAAATGTCACTTTATGGATATGAGACATTAGAATACGATAACAGTTGGCCTTGATAAATTCAGACTGACATATCCAATTAACTTTTTTTGACCATCTTGTTATCATAACAGAAACATTTCTGTAATTAAAAAAAAATCCCACACGGGAGTCAGAGCCTGGATACTAGGTTTCCTACAGGTCTGCTAGGTAACCAAGTTTGCAACATGAGATAACAAGCCAATCCTTATGGCTAAATTTCCTCAAATACAACAGGGGAGCCATGCTGGCCTTACTTTCCACGCAGAAGTAGAAAATAAAAGAAAAATTGTTGTAAGATAATGTTGTAAGATAATGTAAGGTATTTGCTGCTTTGCAACACTGCTTTCCTTGCATGAGTCTGAGAAACACCTGGATTCTCATACGTTTTATATTGTCAAGTAGCATCTCTGGTTTTGAATGTTTTTCTTACTTCACATGAAATACGTAGTCTTTAGAGAACAAAGTTAACTAAAAGGGAGAAAATAAAATTTGGTACCAGCATTCAGAGGTCACGAAATCTCCACATCTGTGTTTTAAAGAAATCTTCACTTCTAAATGTTCTTGTCCTATTTTTATCGATGTAGGCGTTACTGAAGCATAGAACACTTAATCACCTACAAAAATTACCAAGCAGGAAAATACTGATCAAATAGTGCTTCCTTATTAATATCCAGATGAACAGTCTTCTAATGGTCCTGAAGGCTATGGCGTTCCCGGTACACTAATCTGTATATTCTGAACTTTCTTCGCTTGCACAGGGGCTAGTGCCTTTAAATATAACCTACCTATTCTCACATGAGAGAGAGAAACTACGTTTATTTATTAGTATCCAAAAAAATGCAATGGAGACATGCACAGCCTCTCTACTGTTGCATTTTCCACAAATTTCTGTTCTGTCACTTTTACATTCAATATCGTCCTGACACGCTTCTTGGGTCAGGACCATGTACCAAGGCATTTTAAAGCAGTCAGGCACAGCCGGCAGAGTGCACAGTGCTTCAAGTTTCCCAAGGGTCCAGTGGTCGGCAAACTGCGGCTCAGCAAACCTCGGCTCGCGAGCCACATGCGGCTCTTTGGCCCCTGGAGTGTGGCTCTTCCACAAAATACCGGCTCTTCCACAAAATGCCGACTTCTGCGCATGGACCACGAAGTTTCAATCGCACTGTACGCATGCCCGCACGTGGTATTTTGTGGAAGAGCCACACTCAAGGGGCCAAAGATCTGCATGTGGCTCGCGAGCTGCAGTTTGCCGACCACTGGACCATGGAAATGACTTAGACATAATGCAGAGAAAAGCTGGCTCCACAATACACTAAAGGGAAAAATTGATATTTTTAGCTATTTAATTAAATATACATGAGTGTGATATTGTCAACTTCATTTAATTGGTAAATTTGGTAATCATAGAAATTTGATAGGCAGATATCTTGAAAACATACCGATGAACATACAACTTTTACACATAAGCCTTTCTCTTGGTAGAAGCTATTTTTCATAGACACAAGATGTTTCGTGGCCTAAATTTTAATATTCACTCTTACTGCTCTCCTTATCATGTTCAACACATAGTAGGTGCACATTAAATATGTAGTGGCATTTTTTGTTGTTGGAAGGCTACACATCCCTCTATAAATTGTACCCTAAGTTCTGTTCCTGTGGTAACAATAAATACTTCTGTGTGTGGAGGAAGATCTCCTTTGCATTGTATATATCTTTGCAAATCTCTTCCAAATATCCTGACTGAAACAATTGATTTTATTGCACCCAGTGAGATAAATTCCAGGGGAGCAAAGGACGCCTTGGATGCTTAGTAAACCTGTTAGAAAAAACTAAACAAAGCAAAAAACACACACTTGTTTTTAAAGTAAGATGGATAATTTACTGACATAACTACTAGGAAGTAAAGTCTGAACATTCACCACATGTGGCTATGACATTATTCTTAGTGCTGCAAGACTAGTATTCACTTTGTGGGGGAAAAAAGAATGGGTCTTTCCATGATGCTGGGTAGTGTGACAGCTACTAGATGTTGCTTGTTAAATAAGACTTGACTTCTATGGATGGGATCTAATATCTGTATTTTCTTGACATGACCACTGGGGCTTACGGCTGTTCATCCATTAGTTATCATCTGTCATATGTGAACAGACACGTTCCCCATAAAAGTTGATTCGCAGCGTATTTGTCGCGATTTGCTTCACTGTGCTGCATGGCCCGGTCACATCTGCATGCAGCCCCTGTTTCAAGACCAAGTTGATATATGTTTCTGCTCCTTTCACAAGCGTCCAAAGTCAATGTTTCCTACTACACTATTTCTTAAAAACTGGCAGAAAGAAATAAAACCCCATTACATTCTATGCTTGTCCAACTCCTTTGAAAAAGCAATAATCTCCCGTTTGTTCTGAAACACCTGCTGGGAGATTTAATGAGTGTATTAAAAACTGAGCTGCCATGATATTTCTTTTAAAAAAATACAACAAATCTTTTACTTGAGAATGTGTGATTGAAATCTGCTATTTGCTTATTTGCTTTGCCAAAGTTTTTGTTTGTTTGTTTGTTTGTTTTTAATGTGGCCATAATATAAATTTAATACTTTACTGATATGTCAACCTAACAAATATGGGAAAAGGTATACCTCACATATTTGGACTAATTGTTTTTTTGTTTGTTTGTTTTCCAGCTGGGACAACGTATATCTTTAGCAAAGGTGGTGGACAAATCACATATAAGTGGCCTCCTAATGACCGGCCAAGTACACGAGCAGACAGACTGGCCATAGGGTTTAGCACTGTTCAGAAAGAAGCTGTATTGGTGCGTGTGGACAGTTCTTCTGGCCTGGGGGACTACCTAGAGCTGCATATAGTAAGTACTTTAAAAATAAGATTCAGCTTTGCTTTTCACTGTTAGGGTTTTGTTTGTTTGTTTGTTTGTTTGTTTGGTAAGTGACTTATAATTAGTTTGTTGGTTTTAAGTTTCTCTCCCCAGCAACCAGAACTTTTGGTACAGAAAATATAAATACATTCAAGAGTAATAAAGTCTTATACCTATTACTATTATAATTGATAAAAAATGTTCTTCATAATAGAAAATATTGTGCTTTTGTTTTAAGTGTGAATTCCTCTCAGTTATCTGTCTACAAAGGTTTATTTTCGGTGTGTTTTAGTGCCTTTAGGCAGCCCCGTAGATGTCGTTTCTTCAAGCTGGAAGCCGGGGGTTATGATACTGGTGACATCAAAAGAGATGGATCCAGTGTCCTTATGTCTTTTCCAGCCTGGATAGGGAATGGTCTGAAGGTACACGCCATGGATGGGAGAAAAGGAAACTTTAAAGATATTCGGGGCAGTGAAAGAAAATGGCAAAAAACATTGTTTCTGTGCTATCTTACACTTATTTTTAATACATAAGTGTCAAGAAAATACAATGCCATTTATATCCTGGGACCTTTCCTTTTTCTCCAATCTCTAAGCCTCCCACAAGAATTTAGTCAGCACATAGTACATAGCAAATAATAGTTTATAAATGAAAAGCTTTCTTTATCTTTTAACGTTGCCATCACTGAGTAGAGCTGGGGAACTCTTCCCTACATCTCTGCGTTGTTACCTATTTGTACGGTTGTAATTTTGCATCTCCTCATTTCCTTGCAATATTTGCAAAGAATCATAGGCAGGCTTTCATTGTTTAGAGATGTTAATGTTTTACTGATATGTCAAAATAAGAACCATGTCACATATTTAAAAACTGTCAAGGGTTCTTATCATTATAGTTCTTGGTCTAACGTATCTTCTGGGAGGTTCCAGAAGCATATAAATCTCTTCATGCCCCTTTTAATCCTTGAGGTATAGTTTATCTCTTCTGCCTCATGCGATCATGTAAGTTGGTTTTGTTTTTGTCTATCCCTATAAGTTCTCCATTTACCACTATCTGTGCCTCAAAGGATATTTGATTAGGTCAACATGTTCTTCCCCTTAGGCACTCATCCTAAAATGTTAGGAAAATCATCAAACACGAAAATATGTTATCACAGACTTCTACAGGACCTTAATTTTCAACATTTTATTCATTTATTTTCATTCATTTTTATTTATTAATTACAGTTGACATTCAATATTTTATTAGTTTTAGGTATACATCATAGTGATTAGACATTTATGTAACTTATCAGATGATCACCCCCAATAAGTGTTGTACCCACCTGACACCATATATAGTTATTACAATATTGACTATATTTCCTATTGTGTAAATTACATCCTTGTGACTATTTTGTAACTGCCAGTTTGTACTTCTTAATCGCTTCACCTTTTTCAGACAGTCCTCACCCTCCTCCGCCCTCCCATCTGGCAGCCATCAATTTGTTCTCAGTATCTAGGAGTTTGTTTATTTTCTTAATCTTAGTTTTCTATTATACTTATAGAATTTCAAATACACTGAGTAGGGGGTTTACACTGACCACCAGGAGCTGAATTCATTGTTAATGTTGGAAAGAAAACAAAACAAAACACTTCAGCATGACCATTATTGAACTGTTTTAAATTTACGGTTGTACATTTTTCATTCAAAATGCAGTTGTCAAAAATGGGACTCTGGGGCCCTAGCCGATTTCACTCAATGGATAGAGAATTGGCCTTCAGACTGAAGGGTTCCAGGTTTGATTCCAGTCAAGGGCATGTACCTTGGTTGCGGGCACATCCCCAGTAGGGGGTGTGTAGGAGACAGCTGATCGATGTTTCTTTCATCAATGTTTCTAACTCTCTCTTCCTCTCCCTTCCTTTCTGTAAAAAATCAATAAAATATATATTTTTTTAAAAATGGGACTCTGGGATAGTAATTTCAGCTGCCTTTCAGCAAATATCTAACAATCAAAACTGAAAGCATCTGGGTTTTTATGGTGTCATAAATAAATGATCAGTTGAGATAAACTTAACTAGTGCAGTAAGGATTCTTGCTGTTTAGCATAATCTCAACTTCCTAAATGTATTTGCTCCATTCTGATTTAAGAGCCCTGCTACTTCAAAAAATAAATAAAAGTGGAAACAAGAGCTTTTGCTCCTGAAAGAAATTACTTATTGATCTAGAACCAATTACACATTTACCCTGCGAAAAGGTTCTACAGTGATCTCTCTCAAGTCGTAAGGGGCCATGTTATTAAATTACACACCCACTGTTGTTTGTTTTATGGTCAAAGAGTTTTAGTCTACAAGAATGGGTTTTTCTTTCCAATTCTGATCAAATGCGGGCTTACAATCGTCATGCATAACGGATTGACTTTCTAGATGTTCGTACCAGCCCCAGTACCTTCCACAGCTCCTTTGCTGGCCTCCTTTCTGAACCTCCTCTCATGATCTTGCCTAGCCAATCACTTTGAACTCAGTGTCTGCCTCTAGATACCCTTCCTCTTGAATTTGCTATCTTCAAACTCTCCCTTGATTTGAGAGCATGTCCTTGACTATGAAGTGGAAAATGGACATTGGTTCCCTGGGCTTACCAAACGTCCTGATTGGTTAGCCCTGTTCACTCCACCAACTACTCATACCCAGTTTTAGTCTAAATCTGGCCAATGAAAACTTTCTATCTCACTCCTTTTTCTCTCATTGCCTACAAGTTATGACTTAGCATGTTGCTGATATGGAGACAAGTCACTTATTTCTACATTTTGAACATACCATGAAAATTAACACAAGGCTGGTGTTTTTCTTTTAACCACAGAAGTTTACCTCTCCTTCCCATAATGTTGGGCACATGGAATGGGAAGAGAAAGAGCAGTTAGATATTTAAAAAGCAAAGAGAGAGAGGTAGAGAGGAGGGAAAGAAAGGGAGAGACTGAGGAAGGGGGCAAGGAAGGATGAAAGAAGGGAAGGAAAGGAAATGAAAGGTATAAGGACCATAATTGATGTTTTCCAGTGACAGAAGCAAAAGTATTCTTAATAATGATACTTAGATTTGGGAATATTCAGAGGCTACTTCATGAGGTTATTTAGGTGCCTTTGAGTTTATCTTGATTTTCTCCAAATCATTTCTTTTGCTTTTTTCAAGATTGGGAATTTAAAAAGAAAACAGATTTGTAGAAGTATAGAATATTACTGTTGTTTGACTTTGTGTTATGAATATAACTGACTTAAAAATGAAACAATTCATAGATGATATGTTTTATGTCATTTATCTATAAAAGTTAGAAATTTAAAGTATCTATTAAACTGCCATAAAAATATTTGTAAACCTTCAAGGCCAACCATGTATAAACCATGTACTGATTTTTTATAAAAATGACATTTTCCTCAATAAGTAATAGAATTAAACAATAAGATGGAAAGTTGATAGAACACATTATAAGGTACTCCAGTCTTGCCAAAATGTGTAATGCCATTTCATTAACTTTTAAAATTTGATTGGCATATAATGTCAATGAAGATGTGAATATTTGACATTGTTAATGATCTTATTATTTTTTCAAAATGATGTTTGATTTTACTGGAAGATATAATCATATTTAAATTTCGATTAACTGTATTCTAAAAATATAATAACTTATAATAAAATTATTTTGTTACTCAGGTGGCCTAGTTTATATAGATAGATTTTTTTGGTTATATTAATATTGCTACTGCTACCCTCAGAGCCCTATGATATTACAATTGAAATTTGTAAGGTTTTGGAAGTGGATTATGAAAAGATAAGTGCATGAAGTAAGGAACAATTAATTAGCATAGTGCTTAGGAAACAAGTGCTCAATAAATATTTTCTGAAATAATAAATGAAGTAATGAATGATATATTCAAAATATTATGGCTTAGGCTCAGTATAGACTCAACTTTTCTATAATCAAAGTGAAGTTGCAGATGAAGTTTAATTTCCATATAACTCTGATAAAGGATGATTTCTTGTTTATAATATAAAAAGAGTTAGCAACAGCCACAGATTTTTGAAAGGTTGCATATTTTATTGATATTGTTTTCTGAATCTTTACCTAAGAAATAATTATGGTAGTTGATTATTTAATTCAGGGATGGGGAACAGCAGGTCCCAGGCCATAGAAGGCCTTCAAAATCATATGGTCTGGCCCTATCATATGATCTGGCCCTGCCAAGACATTAGGGGTGAGTTAATTAAATGTTTGACCAAATATAGCAGGCTAATTTTTAAGTTGAAAATTTTGTATGACCCTGAAATGATGTTATAAATATTTAAATGGCCCTGGGCAGAAGAAAGGTTCCCCATCCCTGATTTAAGGAAAGTGTATGGTGAGAAACAATTTTTTGATAAATGATTATCTTGCCTTACTAATCACCTTATTTATTGTAATTCACTTTTATCATAAATTACTCTATACTCATTTAATATCCATCCATGTTTTTTAAATAGAAATAAGCTTTCTGATGGTACAGGAAATAATATATAATAATGATGACTAATAAGAAAAATAATATAATATAGAAATGTGGCTTTTCATTACTTATTTTGGTACATGCTAGAAGGCTATTTGGAAAGATTTTCTGAGCATGGCCCATATCTTTGTTAGTCCCTGTGGGTACAAAAATAAACCAGCTCACTACTTAGTACTTATTTCAACTAATATTTGTTGGACAGCCACATGGGATTCTGTTCACTAGGTAGCTTAGATTATGTATAGTAAACATACTTTGTCCCAAAGTGACTAATTTTTCTTGATTTTCCCTCCATCATGGTATCTCCATTTCTTCTCCTTGCAGTTAACTTTCTTATCTGAATAGTATTTGCAAGAACAGGGAAAAATTATAGGTTTTTGAGATAGAGAATATAAAGAGATTTGTAATCATAAAGTGTTTTATACATTTAAATTAGTAATGTTGAGTATTAACACTAAACAAAATAACTTTTGATTTGTA